AGGGGATTGCGGTGAGATGAGGGGGGGGGGGAGGGAGACACATGGAATGGAAGAGGGAGAGGGAGAGAGAGAGAGAGAGAGTGGGAGAGGGGGGGGGAGATATACCGAGCGGGTGTGAGAGAGAAATAGGGCGGGCGGGAGAGAGACTGAGAGAGAAAGAGGTAGCTCAGTCAGTGGGTAAAGAAAGCAATTCAAGCCCTGTTTTTTCGGCCCCCCCTCGTGACACACAACTGTCTTTAGTTGCCGGTGCCACTTGTCCTTCTTTGCCCTTCAGATGTAGGTAAGGCACCACCCTGAGGACGTAGTGTTGAGCGCGGTAATTGGCCGGCGTCGCTTTCTGTGCCCCTAACGACAGTTTGAACTCGCCCCTGTACGCCCCCCCCTCACAACGCTGTTTGTTTTTAGTTATTTTGTCATCTAGAACCTACCGATCAATATGCTTAAAATTTTCTGCGTGGAGGACTTACCTGATCATGCGTCGTCGCCATTGCCTTTGCTGTTGCCGCTGGCCTCTGCCACCTTACCTTGTGTTGGCTTTCCCCGCCTCTTCTAACGCTGCACCGCTGCACGCTGTTTCTCGAACCTGTGTGCCTCGAAAGGGCGGCGGGGTCAGAAACCCGTACGTCGTCTTCTCCTCCGACCCTAAGCACCTCGTGAAGGCCTCTCCCGCTGGAAAACCGCCGAAAACGACGGTGAAAAAGAAGACCCTCAGGGCCAAGTAAGAGGAAGAGAGAAAGAAAAGAAAAAATGCCGCACTATGCATTCAGCCGTCCAGTCCAAGCATTGCTGTATTGCACACGCGTCATGTTTTTGTTGTGGTGTTCTCCTGTAGGAAAGAAAGTTCCAGTGGCCGCGTTATGCGTTTCGCCGTCCACGCTAAGCTTTCGACCCTTTGTGGCGTGTATGGGCACCCGTCATGTTTTTTTTGTTCTCCTGTAAGAAATAAAAGACCAAAGGTCGCATTATTCTTTTTGCCGAACGCGCTGAGCTTTCGGCCCTTTGGTGTGTATGCACAACGTGTCATGTTTTGTGCTCGTGTAGGACTTGACTGAAAGGGAAGCCACGCGGCATGCAGACAAACGAAAAGTACTGCATTAAGCGTCGCCGTCCCCGCCAAGCATTCGACCCTCTGGTGTACGCACACGCCGCACCTTTTTTTTTGTTTTCCTGAAAGGATTGATTGATAGTCCCGATAGGGTACGGGGGGTGTACGCATGTAGACGCTTGCCGGTTTCGTTGTAGACCATAGACCTCGTATTCATACAATGCCGGGACGGCAGGTGGGGGCTAAGCGGGACACCACCAGGCGCGCGCCACGCAGCCTTTCAAGTGCCTTCGCCAGTGTACACTGCTGTTACGTGTCACAGTCCCGTCCGGTGCGAGGGTGCTGTGGTAGCACTGTGGTCGGTTACGTGTCACAGTCCCGTCCGGTGCGAGGGTGCCGTGGTAGCACTGTGGTCGGTTACGTGTCACAGTCCCGTCCGGTGCGAGGGTCTTGTACCCCAATTATGAGCTCCCTCGCCGTCCTGCACTGCTGTCGAACCGAGCTCTGGCTGGCGATGCCTCGACGGCATGGTGTTTTTATTCGAGGAACCTTGACCCGCGTGTCGCCGGGATAGATGTTTGTCGTTGGTTGTCTTCACATTATGAACTGCTCCGGTCTCCGCTCAGTACCTTCTAATGGCCGTACTATTCTATTCTATACTATACTATACTATACTATACTATACTATACAATAACAGTACAACTGACGCGGACGGCTTGCGCGGTCACAAACCAACTACCCCCAAATCGGGTATACACCTTTCTAGACCTAAAAAGAAAAAAAAAAGGAATGGACCCAGCAAAACAAAATCCAAACGCGAGAGTATCCCATCCGATCATGTCTACAAAAAAAACAATAAATAGGTGGAATAGGTATGCGTTCCAGCTGGCTATCTCGGACCCGGTGCTCCTCCGGCAGTCACACGTGAGCTTGGTGGTGATGGACAAGGAGAGAGGACGCAAGAGCAAGGGCGAGGTCATCGGTGTGGCCAACCTGTCTCTCGCGGAGGTCCTCTGGTGAGTTTCATTTTTGAGAAAATGTAGATGCATGCGATCGCAGAATGTAGATGCATACGATCGCAGAGACTTCCCGTTCGAGGTAGTAGTGGCAGGCGGAGGGTGTGTGTTGTTGAAGTCTTTGCAGTGAGGGGGAGAAAATGCCGGCTGGATAGCTTGCTGTTGGTCGTTTGGTCGGTTACCGCAGCCTCCGTGGTGGTGGTGCTGGTGGTTGTTGTGGTCGTCGTGATGCTTCCGTCGGCGCCACAGCGGCGGCCTTGCTGTAGGCGGGGCTGCAGGTGTTAAGTGTGTCTGAGTTCGTTTGCCGGATCGGCAGTATTGATGCGAATGGCATAGTGTGGTGCCAGAAGTACAAAGGACGATGCTGGTGGTAAGCGTAGCGTGTGGTGTTTTAACCGTGGTGACACCCGACTGACTGCCTTCATGAGGAGTATTTGATGTATCGTACAAAATATATTTTTGCAAGCGATGCGATGTCACCGTTAAGCTAGCTCACGACTATGGGGCTGGCCGCCTTATCGCTTCGAGGTTTCCGTCTACTGTCAGCAGCTCCCCAACCCCCATCCACGACCACATCCTTTTTGTGTCCTTGTCATCCCTATCTTCGGCGTTGGTTGCCCGCCCAACAACGCCTGGACGACCACTAGGATCAACAACGGCCCACCGGCTTCCGCGAACGCCAGGAGCTCCAGCCCTTCTTCCGCCGCCGCGGCTGCCTCCGCCGCCGCCTCATCTCGCCGAAGATCGTCGCTGCCGCTCCGCCGCCGCTCCCTGTCGCCGGACCGCGCGCGCCACAGCAACGGCACCCGCGAGCGCTCCTCGTCGTTGGAAGGCCATGGTCGCGGCGGCGGTGACGGCAGCAGCGGGGTTGGCGGCCAAGACAGTAAGATAGGAGAGGCCGCCTCCGCGGGGGAGGAGACTTCGTCGTTGTCGTCCTCTCAGCAGCGGCGGGGAACCGGGATGCCCCGTCACCGTTCCCACTCCTCGCTCCCGTGGGGCTTCTTCCGCCACCAGAACGGAGGCTTGTCCTACCGCGAGGACGGGGACAGCGGCCACAACACGGCAGCCGCCGCTGCTGCTTGCGGAGATGGCGGCGGCGGCGGCGGCGGCCACCGAGATCACCACCACCACCACCACCACCACCACCACCATCGGCGCGCCAGCAGCGGCAGCGGTGGCGGGAGCGACATGACGAGCGTCGGGTGCGAGGGCCAGGATGTCGCCGGCACCTCGGCGGCAGCGCGAGCAGCAGCGGCACCGGGAGTGTCGCCGACATCGACCACGGGGACCAGCTCTCGCGCGCTGGGCGGCTGCGAACCCTCCGCGGGAACAACGGCGGACTCGAAAGAAGGGTCGGCGTACGGAGGCGGAACCGGCGGCGGCGGCGGCGGTGGCTACAACCGCCGTAGCTCGTTCTTCCACAACCTCGCTGGCCACCACCTCCACCACCAAGACGAGCAAGACGGGCGGGCGGCGGCGGCGGCGGCGGCGGCGGCAGCAGCAGAACAGCGGTTGGGACCGATGTTCGACATCCCGCTGGTGAAGAGCGGCCTCCACCGCGGGCGAATCAGCGGCCGGTGCACGCTGGTGCTCGGGTCTGGCACCGGCGTGAACCTCCTGCGACTAGGAAGCGTCCGAGCGCTGGGCCCGGGGGGAGTTGCGAGTGTTGGAGGTGTTGGCGTCGCCGGGCTGAGCGACGGCGACGGCAGCAGCGGCGGGGGTAAGTACAGAGGCGGCGGTGGCGGTGGCGGCGGCGGCGACTTGTGCGGATCTCCGTCGCCGAACGAATTAAGAGCGGCGGCGGCGGCGCGCGGCGGCGGTGGCGGTGGCGGTGGCGCGAGAGGCCTCGCCAGATTCTTTTACGTCGGGCGGAGAGGGCGGGAGCGTGCGCGCAGCAGCAGCGCCGGTAGCAGCAGGAGTCGCAGCCGAAGCAGCAGCAGCAGCAGCAGCGGCAGTAGCAGCAGCGGCAGCAAGAGGAGAAGGAGCAGCCGAGGCAGGGGCCGCACGCGTGACATCCGCAAGGGGGGCAGCAGGGGCCGGCAGAGCGGCGGCGGCGGTGAAGTCGAAAGCCGTCGGGGGGCGGGGGGTCGAGCCGCCACTTTTCCGCCTCCGGCAACGGCAGCGGCGGCGAAACTGCGGGACCGCGCTAGCGAGGGGGGGGAGAATATGGGGAACAAGGCGCCGCCGGGGCTGGCTGCCAAGAGTGTATCGGACCGGGTGTTCAGCAAGTCGCGTCGCTTGCGCAGCGACAGCGGGGGCGGCGGCCGGGACTCCGCCCCCGCTGGTTGTGTCTGTATGTAGCTTAGCTGGTTTCGGCCTCAGCTCGTGCCTGGGGACTACTCCAACAGCACCTTGACGGCTTTTTTGTTGTCGTTGCTGTTTTGTTCAGTGCTTGGCCAATGGCGGCTTGATACAAGCCGCCACGCGGCCATGTTTTTTGAATCTGTTGTGTTGGGGCGTGCTCGCTCAGTGCTCGCGCTTGAGGGCGCCCTTCGCAACTCTTTTTTTTTTTTTCAAGAAGTTGGTGGTCTCTTGGGGACGACCGCTGCGAGCGAACGAGAGAGCGAGAGAGCTGTGTGGCGACTATCAAGCGCCCACGGATTGAAGGCAGGCCAAGCGGTGGGTGCGGCTTGGCGTCGTTGGGCCTGCACTCGCAGTGGTTTTGACTTTTTGGTTCGTTCAATCGAGAGGGGTGCAGATACACATGCGTGCGTATCGTTTACATCACGACGTCCCCCCCCTCTCTCTCTCTATCTCTCTCATTTTTTTGTTTGCAGCACCCGGAGCTCTCCTACCGATGACACCTGGTCGCAGCTTACCGTTGCGTGTGTGCTGGCGCTGACTTGTTTTTTGTGCGTGTTTTGCGTCAGAGGGTGTTCAGCTCTGCTAGATACCATTGTTTTTGTGTGGTTTTGTGTTTTCTTTTTTCCTTTCCCAGCTCGTGTTGTGTGTGCGTCTTTGTGCCGGTGCTGGCGAAAATAAGGGGAGGGACTTTTTGCCAGAGCTCGTGTTCGGTCCCTGTTGCAATGACATCAAACCCACGAGTTGACCGACCTGTGCGCGCCTCTCGCGCGCATTTTGCGTGCCCCCCCCCCCCCCCCCCCGGGAGGGGGAATTTTTTTTTCAAAAAAAAAAAAAAAAGAGGGGGAAA